AGAACCGAGTCACTTTTTCACTTTTCGTTTGCGTGTATTCAATACAGGTGGATGAAAAATTGTTGGCGAAATTTTGTTCGGGCGAAACTCACGATTAGGCTGATTAGTAAAAAGTATCGTTAATTTATAAAAATTGTTATCACATTTTGGCGTATATCATTGAAACTGACTGGAAATTTTTTTGACAAATGTCGTATATGGCAAAATTTTACTAAGCCCATAAATGGTTGACACTAAACTAAAAAAAATAAAATAATTTAAGAATTTAGTGAACTAGTACATAGCATTCCCCCGACACTTTGGAGAAGATCTGTAGTCGTGTTTCTGAGAAGATTCATTCCAAACTTCAATCGTGAGTATATTGTATCGTATTGTATATTTATCTCTCTCTAACGCATTAATTCTATATACGTCAGCATCAACGCCCAACAAAGTTATGTCTGTATTTAATAATGGCTCTATGGCAAAATATTGATGAAATGTATTCGTAGATTTTTATTTACTTCATTTCATACATTAGTATAGATCTGAATGTTTTTTACTAAATACCAGGAATAAATATTTAATAAAAAACTATTTCATTTAAGCTTAACCAACTTTTAGTTGCTCGGAGCTAATTTTGGAACGCTTCATGAAATATTTTTATAGGCGGTAAATGCAACCATGGGTGCATCATTAATGAGCTGAAAAACCAAAACAAATAAAAAAATTCCATCTGATCCAATATTCCCAAAAATTATAAAAGCAAAACAAAAACAATTTTTCCAATTTATACACTGGTATTTTTATTATTGCAATACAGTTCCAGCTCTTCAAACATTTTCCACATTATGATTTTAAAGCTAGTAGTTTCCGACCCCATTTGCTCGTTTTTTTCAGTTCTGAATTTAGGCTAGGTTTTATGGGAACTTACTGTGGGTGCATACAGACCACATTTTGTAAATATGTACATACATATATATGTATACACTTCAACTGAATTGTGAGATATTTAATTTTATTTTGGCCCTTATTATGAGCTGCACTCGATTTTCGATCTTCGCTGGCTATCGAAGATCGAAAGTGAAATTCGTATTATGAGCTATGCAAGCGTGTCGAAATTTTCGTTGAGTATCGAATTTTCTGTCGAACAGAATTTTGCTTTCGATGGTGTAGCGAAGTGTTAGAGAATTGTGAAAAATTTATGATTTTGTATATGTTTTCTTACATTTTGGCGGCTAGACACTGATTTTGAACAATTTTTATTAATTTCATGCAGTTATAACATCGTGAATACTAAACACAAGCTCGAAAGGTTGGTTTTACTTGTGAAAGAAAATCCCAATACTCTGTTGGCATGATCTCTGAGAACAAAATCGTATTCCAACAGTGAATATTTCATGCGCCAAATAACCAACGCACCGAATTTCGTGCGCTTTACGCAATTTGCGTTCTATCACAAAGCTTCCAGAGATTGGGACACGTTGATGGTTGTGCTTGACAATTCCACGTTTGTACATCAATTCACGAACTGATTTAAGATTTGGATAACCCCATATAGGGTTCGGCATACGTAGCATATTAATGGTTGCCTTGTTCAATTTGATGAACAAACCGTGTTTAATGTGGCGCAAACGGAACAACAGTAAAACTTTACGCACTTTCGGTGCAACTTTGTTGATACCGCGGATACGGATCACAAAAGCCAATTGGGATTTTTTAGACACGTAGAATTGGCCGCGTTTTTTTGCAACACGGCGTCCATCACGGAGTTTTCTTGTTTGATATTTCTCGGCATGCA